CCCAGTGGGCTGTGCAGCAGGGCGCACCCTGCCTGGGAGGACTGCCGCCCCAACCCTGCCCTGGCCCCAGGGCCGAGCCCCCAGCCCAGCCCCCACCTCACCAGGGACACCTTATCCAGGTTCTTGAACTTGGACTCATCCTTGTGGCAGCACCTCACAGCCATTACCACAGACCCGATGACCAAAATAGACACCAACAAACACACAGCCACCACCACGCCTGGGTTCCTGTGTGACTCGGAGGCCCCAATGTAACCTGGAGCCGGAGGAAGGAGCCCTGAGTCAGCCCTGGGCCCCACCCCTCCCAAGTCTGAGACACCCATCAGGGCCCAGAGCCTTTTTTTTTTTTTTTTTTTTTTGTCCTTTTTTGAGACCGGCTGCACCACACTCAGCCAGTGAGCGCTGTGAGTGAACCGGTCATCCCTATATAGGATCTGAACCCGCGGCGGGAGCACTGCTGCGCTCCCAGCACCGCACTCTCCTGAGTGCACCACGGGCTCGGCCCTAGGGCCCAGAGCCTTTTAAATCTGTTTTCAGGGAGCTGTGCTCACTTCTCTCTTCCATTGTTTCTATAACCTTTTTAAAGCACATTTTTAGCCCTTTCCTTTTGAATATACTTATCTACAAGTATTCGTTTAGTTTGCTGTGTTTTCTTTGCCATCATTGGGTACTCTCAGCAGTTCTTCTGAAGTGAGAACATTCTAACCTAGACATGTTTCCAAATGCCTTGATATTCTGAAGACACATGCAAAATTCAATGCTTTGTGAAGATGGTGTGTATTCTGTGACTTTAAGCAAAAGATCATTATATTTCATGTTTGTACTTTTTGAACATTTTGGAGACAAGGTATTATTTTCAATCATAGATTTTTCCAGACCCCCTAAAACTGCTTGACCTCTGTGCAGTCCCTGGGGTCCTGTGTTGGTACAACCTGCAACCTCCCCACCTTCAACCCTCAATTCATAGCCCACTCAACCCCATTCCAGCCACCTCACTTTTCTCAAACACATCAGGCAGTCAGCCCCACCTCAGGGCTGGGCTGCCCTCCCACTAGATACCTGCATGGCTCCCTCCTTCACCTCCTCAAACTGAGATCTTAGCTCACCACTTTTTTTTTTTTTTTTTTTTTTTTAACTTAAAGGCTAGTCAAGCAAAATAATGGGAGTGGATAAGGAACAAAGAAATCTGTAACTGGTTGTGATCAATCAATTGTAAACACGACTGCACTCAGACCAGTCGCAGAACACTCAAAATTTTCAAACCATTTGCAACCATATTCCAACCCCTTGTCCTGCTCTATTTTGTTATTTTATGAACAAATAAATATATAGTTTAAACCTATCACCTCACCGGTATTTTTGTCTCTCTTGCATATAACTGTGTCCCAAGACCTGACACACACTAACCTCTTAGTAAGTGTTCTCCAGATGAAGGGGTGTAGACGAGGCGGTTGGGGAAGGGAGGCCCTCTCTAGCGCATTCCCGAGCCTGTGTCTCCCCCTGGTGGCCAATCCCAGAACTTCAGCCCGGTACCGGCCACCTGCCCCACACCCCCAAAACCTGTTACCACTCACCCTGGCCAGAGCGCCCCGAAGTCTGGTCAGTGCGGACCGAGGGCTCCGTCCCAGGACTGAGGGAACTGAGGTTCCAGTGCAGGGTGAAGGATGTGGAACCAGCGTGGGTGGAATGAGAAATGGAGGTGAGCTCTGAACTGGGTGAGTGAGAGCTGGTGTAGGTGACTGTCCCTAGTTGTGGGGTGGTGGTGATCATCCCTGGATCTGTGGAGCTGAGCTGGGTCGTGGAGTCTGCCTCCGAACTCGGGAGGCTGGAGGTGTCGGTGGTTTCCCCTGAAATGGAGGTAGAAGTGGCCGGAGGGATGGAAGTTGAGTCCTCTGTCACGCTGCTGCTCAGGGATAAAGAAGTCATAACCACTAGAAAGAAAAATGCCATTGAGGGTGCAGGAAGCACATGACAAAGAACAGGGTTTTGCAAACCTGGGTCACCCCGACCCCTCCCTCTCGAATGCCTCCTGCCCTATTATCACAAGTATCAATGCGAGGCTCATAGGGAGGCCCAGAGGATTTAGGATGCCATGAGGGAAACCAAGACTCCCTCAGGAGGTCAAGCTCCTTGTCTGAGGGCCCACAGTCACGGTTCAATTTCACACTGGGACCTCCCAGTCTTTTTGCCTCAAGGCTCTAGATGCCCCCCAGGATATGGGGAATGGCTGCAAGCCAGGCATTGGGCTCAGCAACTCCTTTCAACTTTCTGGGACTCGGTTTCCTTTTCTGTAAGATGGAGGTCATGGGAAATCAACGCCTCGGACAGTTCATCACTCAGGTTCAGCACACAGTGTGCCCTCAGGATGCTCAGCCGTACAGATCCCCCTCTGAGCTCAGTGAGGGCCAGCCCTAATCTTCTTCCCCAGGTACCTGGGAGGTCCCCAAGGCTAAACTCAGAGTTTTAACGGGAGGTAGAGACCTGGGTGCTGGGAACAGTCATCAGATCGTGTCTCTGGATCGTGTCCCTGCTTTGCTCCAGCCACTCCCTGGCACTCACCCTGTCCCAGGCATGGAGCCCAGGGACCAGGTGGAGGGCGGGTAAACAGCTCATGGGCCACCTCCCACAATTACTCCTGCACAGATACAGGCAGCTGGGCACCTCAGGGGTGTGCAAGTTCATTCATCAACTGCTCCCCGCCCCACCCTTGTTCACCCAGCCCCGCACAGATCTTTGAGCTTCCTCCTTGCCTCACCCCAGGCAGCAAAAATGCGGAAATAATGCAGCACTGACCCTGGGAGGGAAATGGGTCTGCCGGCCCCTATCCCCATCTCTCTGTTCAGTCTCCCAGGCCCTGGGGGGATGACAGATGAATCTAGAAGAGGCATGAAGCACCACTTGGACTTCATCCCTATTTTACCAAGGCTCAGAGTGGTAGAGGTATGGCCTGAGGTGATTGGGAAGGTAGGCAGGAGGACCTCCACGGAATTGAGGACTAACGGGTCAGCCTCCCCAAACTGCCTCCCACTATCATGTGAAGAGGAATTCAGACTATGAGAGGTTTCTCCTGAAATGAAAATGACTCAGGGGCCATAGTGGACCCCAAGTCAAGCCAGAATTCTGGGGAGCTGAATTTTTAAAGTGAACTGAGGAAAACCAGTGCACCTTAAAAGAGGAGGTGGAGGACAAAAGCCCTCCTGAATGCCCGGCACAGAGTAGGTGCTCATGAGCTGCTGGAGAACTGACCAGAAGGTAAAATGGGACTGTTTCTACACATAGTGCCCAGTGTTTGATTTTCCCAGAGACTCCTAGACTGGGAGACTGGCATGAGCCAAATCAACTGGTTCTAACCTGGGTCCAGCACAGGGCTGGACTGAGCCTCAGTTTCCTGAGCTACGAAATAGGGATAAAGGTGATGACTGAAGGAAACCCTTGTCTGCAGTCAGCATGCCAGCCCTGGTGGCCTCTGCTGTAATATAGGTTTGGGGCTGGGACACGGGTCAGAGAATGATGACTCGGTGGGAGGGGGAGGCTCGGGGAAGGGGATACAAACAAGGTCAACTCTTCTCCACGCTGAGAACTTTCTCATAGGGCAGCAGGAGGGAATTAAGTCAGACACCAAGAAGAATTTATGGGAGCATGGATGCTTGATGACCAGGAAGAGCCTCTGTTCCCTGGCCTCCCATGGCCCCGGGGTCATCATTCTCTCTTTGGGGTCTGGGCTAAGAGAAGCAGAGCCTCAGACTGGATGAGAGGCAATCCCCAGCCTCCAACCAGTTCAGGGCACACTGGGGTCACAGGTCGGGCAGCCCCAGGTCTTGGAAGCGAGAAGTTGCTCCCGCTGTTCTCACTTTCACATTTGTCTCTGGGGAAAGGTCAGTCTTCTCTGGAAGGCTGGCAGACGAGCGTGCTGAGGGAAGAGTCCAGAAGCCAGGTATGTGACTGGGTGTGTGCGCTCCCCACCCCACCCCCAGCTTTCCGGAAGCCGGGCTTCCCTCTTACCTGCTCTTACCTGTAGAGGTGGCAAGGGCAAACTGTTTATTAGCATCAAAAGGTTTCACTAGCAGCCCCAGAGCCAGAAGCAGAAGCGGCGGCAGCTGGGTGCCCGCCATTCCTGCGCGGAAGGGGCCGCCTCCGGCTCTGCACAGGTGTGTGGCCAGGTGCCTGCCCTTTACACCTGCGCGCGCGCGCCCCCTGCTGGCGGAGCGCGGGGCTGTGGAGGGGCGCGGAGAGGGCGGAGCGTCTGCACGTGGGGCCTCTAGGGGGTGCTCCTGTTCCCCAGGGAGTGCCATTCGTACCCTGCTCTTCACAGGACCCCCACTCCTCCTAAACACCCTGCCTGGACCATGACCCTGAAGCCCGCCATCTTTCCCATCCTCTCAGGACACCCTGCCCCCTCCCAGTCCCTCTTGCAGCCCCAGTACTCTGTGGTGCCCTCTCCATAGTTTCCCCAAACCCATGCCGGCACTCCCTCTGCCCCTCCCTTGCCAGGCTGACCCTTCTGGCAGTCCCCAGCCCCCTCCCCTCCTTCTGCCCTGTCCTTGTCCCCCTCTGTCTCACTCAGGCTGGAGCCCCTTGGGGGGGCCCAGCATCCCCCCAAATCAGGACATGTCTGGAACCCTCTAGCACTTCTAGAATGAAGCACCCATACAGCACCTGTAGGATTTTCTAGGGCTAAGGGACTCAAGGTGGGTGTTCCAGACCAGGTCCCCAGATACTGCTTTCTGGAGTGCACTGGGGACAGCTTCCATCTGGAACCGACTAGATACCACCTGGTTAACCATGGACAGACATGGCGGCAAGTGTGAGGCCATGCTGGTGGCCCCTGACTTCCAGGAAAGACTTGGGGACCCCATCCCGGCCACAGATCCTGGGCACAATCTGTGTGGTTGGAAGCTTTGGGGCCCCTCCTCTCTGGGATGTTTCAGGTCCCTCTCACTATATCCCCCCACACACCATGCCTGAGATTCTCCCATTAATCTGGAAAACATGAACCAAGATCCAGGCTGTGGAGGACTTTATTCATTAGACACAGCCCCTCCCACAGTGTCCTCCATGTTGGTAGCCAGGGTCCTAGACACCGGGCCAGTACGTGTGCCGCGAGCTGTTCCATGGGCTTGCTGGCCCCAAGAGTGCATCCGTGGTGAGGCAGGTGCGGGTGTGGTGGCCTCGCCAGTTGGCTTGGACCATCTTGGCTGCTACCTGCTGCTGCTTCAGCTGGCGGCGGATCTTGAAGCCCCTCCAGGCCGACTGGATGACTGTGGCCGCCTTGATCTGGTGACGCAGCTGCTGGGAGCTCTGCGAAGCCGGCTGGGAGACACAGGCCCATGGCCCACCCCCCTGGCCCACACCCTGCACCACCCGCGTGGGCAGGGTGTGGCCGCACATGTGGCAGGTGCGGGGACTGGAGCCCACAAGCATCACCACGCTGGGAGGGGACCCCAACCCGGTGCTCAGGGACTGGCAGAGGCTGCAGACGTGTGGCTGGCAAGACTGGTAACAGCGGTGATCAGAGGTGGTCCTGGCTCTGCTGCTGCCCAGCTCTGCCCACGTGCCCGGGAGCAGCATTTGCTGGGCGCGGTCCCGGCGGGTGCAGTAGCCTCGCCAGGCAGCCTGGATGACTGTGGTGGCTCTGTAGAGGTGGGTCAGTTTCCGCCGCACACAGTAGCCACGCCAAGTAGCTTGGATGATGGTGGCCCACTGGTGCCACACCTTGATGGTACGACGCACTAGGTAGCCACGCATGCACGCCTGGAGAGTGATCACGGCTTGGACGATTATCTCCTCTACAGTCTGCACCGACATCGTCAACTTCCCCGGCTGCCTGGGATCCGCTGACACCTTGCTGCCCACGGCGTCCCACGGCCCAGCACCCCTGGCTGGCCTCCTTGCGCTGCAGGGGGCCACAGCGGTGTGGTCCATGGGCCTGACCGTTACACTGGGAACAGCAGAGTTCCATGACTGGCCACCAGCCATGCCAGCATCCGTGGGGCCCTGGAGTACAGAGGGGATCAGGGATGCCTTCTGACTAACCACAGGACCCCCGGAGCTAGGGGAGTCCTGTATCCCCTCCTTTGATTCCTGATCAAAAAGGGGCCGTCGGGAACCACTCGGTGAAGACTCATAGCCTATAGACACCCTCCGGACTCCCAGGGACAGCTTAGGGATGGTCGTGCCACGTGCTGCCTCGCTGGTGTGGAGGATGGGTGTTATGCCCACTGAGGGTGCGCTGCTGGGCCGTTTGCCCTTGACCAGTGAGGTCCAGGATGCATGCTTCTGCACCTGATGGGAGGGCACAACCTTGGCCACAGAACCTTCTAGCATTTCCGGAACAGTGCTTCTGTGCATGGATCTGAAGGACTTTTTAGGGCCAAGGGACTCACGGTTGCTCTGGGCCTGGTTCCCAGACACTGGTTTCTGGAGTGCACTGGGGACAGCTTCCATCTGTAAGGGACTGGATGCTGCCTTTGTAGCCAAGGATGACAGCACGTGTGAGACCATGCTGGACCTCTGGGGTGGACTAGGGGTCTCCAACCTGGCCACAGACCCCAAATGCACACTAGATGCCATGGTACTGCCCGAAGCCAGCTGGGGTGATCCTGACACTTCAGTAGAAGCCACCATCCCCTGGGAATGGCTTTGGGGTCCAACATGAGCCATGGACTCCTGTATCAGAGCTGAGGGGGCCTCTGTGGGCCCAGGAGCCATGGGCTGACTCATGGCTGTGTCACCTACACATATCTGCCCACTCTCAGCCATAAGGTGGGAACTGGGGACCCTGCCACTGGTTATTGACTGTGGCTGTAGAGTTGGGGTGATGCTGCTGGCCATGGGGTGCTTGGCTAAACTCAGAGGCTGGAAAGACACTGGGACCTCACCACTGGCTTGGCTGGGAGCCACCTCCACCAAACAGTCCATCTGGGCTTTGGGAAGAGTCTCCTCCTCAAACTGGGGCCTGTGGTCATAGTCCACATCCATCCCCATGGCACCATGGTGTATCCACGGGGTTGCCCCAAGGACCCTGGACTTGCTGGTTAGATCCGTGGACTCGCTGCTGGATCCTGACACATGGGAGAGAGCCTCGTCCAGTTCTCCCGACTTTGCAATGTCCCAGCCCTCTGTGGCCTCAGGTGGTGTCATCCCAAGCTCTTGGCTCAGCTGAAAGGCTCTCGACAGTACCGTGGGTACTTGGGATACCCGCCTGGCTGTGCCACTAGCTCCCGAGGCTTGAGGATGAACTTGGTTCAGGCCAGTGCCATGGGATGCTGGGCCGGGGACTGTAGACCCCTCTCCAGCTGGGGCTCCATAATAAGGATGGGGAGTGATTCCAATCAGCATGGACCCCTGGGGGAGACTCTGGGCCCTACTAGAGGCCCCCACAGTTGCCATAGAACCAAGAGGTACACTTAGGTCCACCCCACTCACCACTGAATCTGGGAGTTGGCTTGGAGTGACTACACTAGCTGAGGGTCTTGCAGACAGACTTTGCCTGTCTGCTGCCGTCAGACTGTCGGCCACCCTACTGGCCACAGAACCTGGTGGGAGACTCCGGGCCCCACCATCGGCCAGATAACCTGATGAAAGATTCTGTCCCACGCCCCTGATCACAGACCCTGGGGGAAGAAGAGGGGCCATGCCACTAACCACAGCGCCTGGGGCCCTGGCTGTGTTCATCCTTCTGGCTACAGAACCTGGCATGAGACCACTGCCAGCCATGCCCAGCACGGAGCCCTGAGGGACAACATTTGCAGGTTGGTAGCTGGATAGGATAGGGTCCGAAGTGACCAGTGCAGCAACATTGACCTGAGAGATGCTGGGACCCACACTGGCCAGGGAGAGCTTGGACTGACTGTTGGCCAGGCTGGTGGGCACTGAAGCTGGGGGAAGGCTGGGGCCCACCCCCGTGGCCATGGAGACTCCACGAGTTAAAGGGGCACCTGCCCCCAAGATCTGGGGTGCCATAGGAGCTGTGCCACTGGCCACCTGAGACTGACTCTGACCCACACAAGTTGCTGTGCATCTCCTGGGTAGACGCCCAGCCACACCGTCACACACGGCTCCCTGAGACATACTTAGGAACACACTAGCAGCCACGGGGCCCTGTGGCATGCCCATAGCTGCACCCTGGAAGAGAGTCCCCTGAAAAACACTGGATCCCTGGCCTAGCCCACAGTCCTCCTCATTGGCCACAGAAGCCTGGCACAAGTTTGGCACTGAAACAGTGACCACAGAAGGTTGACACACACTTGAATACCTCCCACCAACACTGGGTGGCTGATGGAACCCAAATGACACTTCCCTGAACCCAGAGTCCTGGAGGTTGGAAACCACCCCAGTAGCCATCAGAGGGTCTTCCCTGGGGTCCACCCCAGTTCCCAGAGATGGCTGGTTTGAACCCTGACCCATGCCACTGGCCACACACGGGTATGGTTGACATGCGCTAACTGAAATAAAGATTGAAGGGGGACATAGATGAGGGGCTCCCGCACTCTCCCTGGAGGACTGCAGGCTTGAATCCACCCCAGGACCCCAACCGGGTGGGCTGAGGCCTTTCCCCACGCCACTGAGCACAGATGGCTGGGCCAGGCTGGATGCCAACCAGCGGGCCACAGATGGCTGGGCCGGACTGAAGGTCCCCCGACTGGCCGTGGGTGACTGGGATAGGGTGGGGGCCACCCAACTAACCATAGCTGGCTGGTCTAGTCTGGAAGTAAACTCAGTGGGTGTGGAAGTCTGACCTAGACTGGGGGCTACTCCACTGGCCATAGATGTCTGCGCCATCATAGATGACAGGGGTGTGCTGGGAAACACTCCACTGCTCACAGATGGCTGTCCTAGGACTGGGGCCACCACACTGGAGACCCATGGGTGGGCTAGGGTAGGGATTACCCCACTGGCCAGAGATGGGTGGGCAAAGCTTGGAGCCATCCCACTGGTCATAGACGGGTGGCCTAGGCTTGGGGACACCGCAGTAATCATAGATTGTTGGTGTAGGTTTGGTGACACCCCACTGGGCACAGATTGCTGGGCTAAGCTTGGGGACACCCCAGTGATCATAGATTGCTGGGCTAGGCTTGAGGATACCCCACTGGGAACAGATGGCTGGGCTAGGCTTGGAGACACCCCACTGGGCACAGAAGGCTGGGCTAGGTTTGGGGACACCCCACTGGGCACGGACGGTGGACCTAGGCTTGGGGACACCCCACTATGCACGGACGGTGGACCTAGGCTTGGGGACACCCCACTGGGCACAGATGGCTGGGCTAAGCTTGGGGACACCCCACTGGACACGGACGGTGGACCTAGGCTTGGGAACACCCCACTGGGCACAGATGGCGGGGCTAGGCTTGGGGACACCCCACTGTAAACAGATGGCTGGGCTAGGTGTGGAGACACCCCACTGGGCACAGATGGCTGGGCTAGGCTTGGGGACACCCCAGTGGTCAGAGATTGCTGGGCTAGGCTTGAAGATACCCCACAGGTTATAGATGGGTGACCAAGGCTTGGGGACACCACATTGGTCATAGAAGGCTGAGCTAGGCTTGGGAACACCCCACTGGGCACAGACGGTGGACCTAGGCTTGGGGACACCCCACTGGGCACAGATGGCTGGGCTAGGCTTGGGGACACCCCACTGGAAACAGATGGCTGGGCTAGGCTTGGGGACACCCCACTGGGCACAGATGGTTGGGCTAGGCGTGGAGACACCTCACTGGGCACAGATGGCTGGGCTAGGCTTGGGGACACCCCAGTGGTCAGAGATTGCTGGGCTAGGCTTGAGGATACCCCACTGGTTATAGATGGGTGACCAAGGCTTGGGGACACCACATTGGTCACAGTAGGCTGGGCTAGGCTTGGGGATAGCCCTCTGGGAACAGATGGCTGGGCTAGACTTGGGGACACTCCACTGGGCACAGATGGCTGGGCTAAGCATGGGGACACTCCACTGGGCACAGATGGCTGGGCTAGGCTTGGAGACACTCCACTGGGCACAGATGGCTGGGCTAGGCTTGGGGACACCCCACTGGGCACAGATGGCTGGGCTAGGCTTGGGGACACCCCACTGGGCACAGATGGCTGGGCTAGGCTTGGGGACACCCCACTGACCACAGATGGCTGGGCTAGGCATGGGGTCACCCTACTGGCCACAGATGGTTGTGCTAGGCTTGGGGATACCCTGCTGGTCATAGATGGTTGGGCTAGGCTTGGGGACATCCCACTGGCAACAGATGACTGAGCTAGGTTTGGAGCCACCCCAGTGATCATAGATGGTTGTGCTAGACTTGGGGACATCTCACTAGACACAGATGGGTATCCTAGGCTTGGGGACACCCCACTGACCATAGGTGGGAAGCCTAGGCTTAGGGCCACCCCAGTGGTCATAGATGGCTGGGTTAGGCTTGGGGACACCCCACTGGGCACTGATGGCTGGACTAGGCTTGGGGACACCCCAGTGGTTATTAAAGGCCGGGCTAGGATTGGGGCCACCCCAGTGGTCATAGATGGGTGGCCTAGGTTTGGTGACACCACAGTGGTCATAAATGGCTGGACTAGGTGTGAGGACACCCCTGTGGTCATAGATGGGTGACCAAGGCTTGGGGACACCCCATTGGCCATAGATTGGAAGGCTAGGCTTGGGATCACCCCACTGGTCATAGATGGCTGAGGTAGAATTGGGGACACCCCATTGACCATAGGTGGGAGGCTTAGGCTTCGGGACACCCCACTGGCCATAGATGGCTGGGTTAGGCTTAGGGACACCCCAGTGGTCATAGATGGGTGGCCTAGGCTTGGGAACACCTCAGTGGTCATAGATGGCTGAGTTAGACTTGGGGACACCCCAGTGGTCATAGATGGGTGGCCTAGGCTTGGGGACATCTCACTGCTCCCAGATAGGTAACCTAGGCCAGGGGCCATCCTTCTGGCTACAGATAGCAGGGATGAGTTGGGGGTCACCCCACAACCCATAGATGTATTAGCTAGGCTGAGGGCCACCCCACTCTTCTTAGATGGGTTTGCTAGGCCGCGGGACACCTTACTGGATGCTGGTGGCTGTGATAGGCTTAAAGTCAACCTACCAGCCACTGACGGCTTGCCTGTGGTTGGGTACACCCTACTGGCCCCTGATGACTGGTCTAGGTTTGGAGCTACCCTATTGACCACTGTAGGCTGGGATGTGCTTGGGGCCAACCCAGTGGCCACAGATGGCTCCCGATATATAGTGGGGACCACAGTATCCCAAGACAGACTCTTCCTCATCCCTGTTCTGAAGGTCGATTTAGCAAATCTCTCTATCAAATTCATAGAGCTTTGCTCTGAGGGGAACTTATCCACCTCACTCTCTGAGCTCCAGTGGACACTCAAGGCCGAGTCAATGCACATGGAGCTATGCTGTAGAACTGGTATTAGCTCTGAGTCTGTGAAGGGCTGGTGTTGGAGGATTGGGATCCTGTGCCTATGGCCAGCTTTTTCAGTCTCTTTCATGTCCTCAAGCCTCTGGAGCCTCCCCATGGACTCCCGAGAGAGAAGGGACTCTAGCTGGAGGTCCTCGTCCAGGTTGCCTTCGCAGGACTCCTCCTCCACCAGGTTGACGGTGGTGAGGCTGGCCGCAGAGGTGGTGGACAGGCTGTGTGAGCTATAGCTTGGCAGGGAGCTATAAGAGTGACTCTCATTGAGGCCGAAGGCCGTGGAGTCCTGGCAGAAGCTTCTGGCCAAGCCATTTTCTGAACCCTGCGGCAAACTGGACATCAACTCACTGAGAATGGACATCTGGCGGCCAGTCGCCAGCTCCCGGGAGCAGGGCGGGGTGGAAACACAACGCTGTGTAGGAGCCCGCTCCTGTCCAGGGGTGGACATCTGGGGAAGGACTTGTGCCAACCTGCGGCCCAGGGAACCTGGGAACAGACTGCCATCTACCCAAGTCTTGGCTGCCTGCACCTGGCTCCTCGGGGAGGCCTGCGATGGATTTGGGGTCCCCTTGTTGATCGTCTCCCTAGTCCCCCGGGAGCCCTGTTTGTGACTTGGGGGCTGAGTCTTTCTCTGCAGGCTCCCCTCAGAGGCCCTGGATGGCTGGCGAGGACCTCTGGCCACTGCGGGTTGATACAGTTTGGGGGGCAACCTGCTGACCCCCGGGTGCTGACACGGAGTAGAACCCCCACCGGCAGAGGAAGACTGGTGGGGACAGTGGGTGGCCCTCCCACCGCCTGCACTGCCCGAAACCGCACCCGAGGCCACCCCGCCCTCCCTTGATGACGTCCACGAACAGGGGGCTACCCTGCTGACCGCCTGTGGCTTGTGGGAGCTCGGAGACTTGTCATGGGCCACCGATGACCGGCTTGTGCTGGGGCCCATGCCATTGGCAATGAGCAGCTGCCACAGACTGGGGGGCGGCTGCAGGTGAGGGGGCTGGGGCAAATTGGGACCTTCACCACTTGCCATGGGGTGGAAATCAGAGGCCACTTCGCCGGCCCCCAGGGCCAGGCACCAATTTTCCTTTCTGACCTTGGGGCTCACATACCGCTTGCAGGAGAAGACCCTGCCTGGGTCCCCTGTCCCCCATGTTGGCATGGGGTCCAGGCCAGTCATCAGGGGACACAAGTTAATGCTGCCAACCAACGTACCAGTCAAGGAGACACCCACAGAGACCATGGAGGAGCAGAGTAGCCCCCCCGATGTGGGCATACAGCTTGCAGGAGAAGCCCCTGCCTGGGTCCCCTGTCCCCCATGTTGGCATGGGGTCCAGGCCAGTCATCAGGGGACACAAGTTAATGCTGCCAACCACCGTACCAGTCAAGGAGACACCCACAGAGACCATGGAGGAGCAGAGTAGCCCCCCCGATGTGGCCCCGGCCCCCATCTCCTCCAAGGGCCCGACTGCCCGAAACCGCACCCGAGGCCACCCCGCCCTCCCTTGATGACGTCCACGAACAGGGGGCTACCCTGCTGACCGCCTGTGGCTTGTGGGAGCTCGGAGACTTGTCATGGGCCACCGATGACCGGCTTGTGCTGGGGCCCATGCCATTGGCAATGAGCAGCTGCCACAGACTGGGGGGCGGCTGCAGGTGAGGGGGCTGGGGCAAATTGGGACCTTCACCACTTGCCATGGGGTGGAAATCAGAGGCCACTTCGCCGGCCCCCAGGGCCAGGCACCAATTTTCCTTTCTGACCTTGGGGCTCACATACCGCTTGCAGGAGAAGACCCTGCCTGGGTCCCCTGTCCCCCATGTTGGCATGGGGTCCAGGCCAGTCATCAGGGGACACAAGTTAATGCTGCCAACCAACGTACCAGTCAAGGAGACACCCACAGAGACCATGGAGGAGCAGAGTAGCCCCCCCGATGTGGCCCCGTCCCCCATCTCCTCCAAGGGCCCGACGTGCTGGCCCAAGGCGAAGCCCTCCCAGGCCCCAACCTGGGAGGAGAACCTGACCTTGCTGGGCTGTGGTTTCACGGGCCCGCACGCAGCCAGTGGGCTCCCCCTGTAATCCACCTCCACTGGGGCCGGCACCGTGGTCATCCTGCTTCCCGCAGTTTTCGAGTCGGCCTTGGGGAGCTTGGCTGCAGTCCTCAGGGCCGCCTGGGACAAAGACTGGCTCAGGACAGCGCCCAGCTCGCCCTGGCACAGGGCCTGACTCAGAGCCGCCCTCTCCTCATCTGTCAAGGCCTTGCTGAGGACCTCGGCCAGTCTGCCCTGCATGGCCTTTGTGAGTTCCGCCCGCAGCTCGCCCCGGGACAGGGCACGGGACAGGGTGATGCCGAGCTCACCCCAGGACAGAGCCTTCACCAATACCATGCCCAGTATGCCCTGGGGCAGTGCTTTGGCCACAGTGGTCCCCAGGATCTCCTTGGACAGGGCCTGGTTCAGAGCCGCCCGTACTTCTGTCTGGGACAGGGCTTTGGCCAGCAGGGCACGGAGATCCTCCTGGGAGCCCAGCACCATGGCCAGCTCGGCACACAGGGAGGCCAGCTGGAAGGCTGTGGCATCGTCCTGGCAGGGAGCAACCTGGCTGGGCATCGACGGTTGGGCCCGTGTGGTCCCACTGTCACCCCAGGAGTCACTGCACATGGGGTGCCCCGTGGGTGCCGACAGAGGCACCAGCATGCCCTGGCTCTCAGGGGCCACTGGGCGCAGGCCCTGGGTGGCCTTGTCCTGCCCATGGCTGTGGGGATGGAGCTGGGTTGGTCTATTATCTAGCTTAGCACCAATGTGCAGGCAGGTGTGGGTGGACGCCTTGGACCCAGTCAGTAGCGGCTGGGAGTGGGTCTTGCTGCTGAGTTCAACAGATTGGTGTGCTGTGCAGAGGCCCTTGGCCTTATCTGTGACCAGCTGGGCCTGGGACTGTGTCTTCACCAGCCTAGTGGGTAGGTGTACTCGGGATGGAACCTTCATCGCCCCTGCAACCAGCTGAGCCTGGGACTGTGCCTTGGTCAGACATGTAACCAGATGGGCCAGGGATGGGGCCTTGGTCAGCTTGATGGGCAGACGTATTTGAGATGGGGTCTTGGCCGGACATGTGCCCAGCTGTGCCTGTGTCTTGGTCTGTCCAGTATGAGGCCTTCCCTGGGATGAGGCCTTCATTAGGAGTGCAGCCAGCTGTGCCTGGGACAGGGCGCTGGTCTGCTGGGCAGGTGGATGGGCCTGGGACAAGGCCTTGGTCAGGCACGTGCCCAGCTGTGCCTGGGATAGTGTACTGGTCTGCTGGGCAGGTGGACGTGCCTGGGACGAGGCCTTGGTCAGGCACATGCCCAGCTGTGCCTGGGACAGGGCACTGGTCTGCTGGGCAGGTGGACGTGCCTGGGATGTGGCCTTGGTCAGCGGGACAGCCAGCTGTGCCTGGGGCAGGACCACAGCCGTTTCCATAGGCATGTACACCTGGGATTGGACCTTAATGACGTCCATCCTCACGTGTGCCTGTGATGGGGCTTTGTTCCTTTCCTCAGCAGCTTTTATCCAGGTCGAGGACCTCAGCATTCCCGCCGCCACATTGGTCCTAGGTATTGTCTCTGCTTTCACCTGTTTCTGGAGGCAAGCCTTAATTTTCTCAGCATCCAAAGGAGGCTTGGCTGGAGCCTTAGGAGCCCCAGATACCAGTCGGGGCTGGGGGAGCCACTTGACATTTGCCTCACTGAGGTATGAGTGGGACGAGACTTTGACAGTCCCCACCGCCTGCTTTGTATTCACTGTGGCCTTGGCCTTTGGCACGTTCAGATGCATGTGGGACAAAGTGTTGGAAGTTCCAGCTGCTACTGCTGCTTGGGGTGAAGACTTGAGGTTTGCAGCTTCCGGAGTGGCCGAGCACAGGGTCCTGAGGACAGCAGCTACTGAGCGTATCTGGGCTGGGGTCTTGGTTATCATGGACGCCAGGCGTGCCTGGGGTGGGGGCTTGGTCATCGAGGTGACCGGGCATGTCTGGGATGAAGTCTTAGCCATGGTGACTCCCAGACATTTTTGCAGGGGGCTTTTGGTTGTGGTGGCTGCCGGGCGCATCTGGGGTGACGTCTTCACCGTGGCAGGCACCACACACATCTGGGGTGTGGTCTTGGTCATTGCAACCACTGGACGTGTCTTGGATGGGGGCTTGATCATCGAGGCCAACAGGCACACCTGGGGCAGGATCTTGGCCGTGACCGCTGCTGGGCGTGTCTGCGATGGGTTACTGGTTACAGAGGCTGTTGGTCGCACTTGAGCTGGGGTCTTGGTCATCACAGGCACTGGGCATGTCTGGGCTGGGGTCTTGATTATGGTGGACACCGGGCATGTCTGGGGTGGAGTTTTGGTCATTGTGGGCACTGGGTATGTCTGGGCTGGGGTCTTGGCTACAGAGACCACTGGGCACATCCTGGGTGGAGTCTTGGTCACTGTGGGCACCGGGCAAGTCTGGGCTGAGGTATTGGTCATCGTGGACACCAAATACATCTGGGGTGGGGTGTTGGTTATTGAGACCACTGGATACATCTGGGATGGGGCTTTGAGGATTTCTGCTTCCACATGGGCTTGGGTCTGGGCCTGGGTCTTGAATGACCTAGAAACTTCCTGGCTATACCTTCCGGCTACTGGTGGCTCCAGAGCCCCTGTTTTGTTGGTTCCGGCAGTGACATGACTGGTCTTCACTGTGTCCCCCTCTGCGTGGCTGAGGCAGGCATTTCTGAAGGTTCTTGTCACCAGGCACGGTTGGCGTTTTGTGTCTAGACTCACTGGGCACGAAAGCTTCATGGTTACGGTCTGATGTGGCAGAAAGGTGGCTCCAGGCGTTCCGGCAGCATGGGGAGCCTGCATGCCGGCCTCCGGGGTGCCCTGGGCTGCCCAGGGCTGCAGATGGGCCAGACGGTCAGAGGAAGGAAACTGGGTCTCCTTGTTCAACGTGAGGGGCTGGCAGAGAAGGCGGTTCTCTTCTGGATATTGGAATCGCACCTGCTGGGGACGGTGGTAAGGGATGTCCCCTTCCTCGGCGTCCGTTTTCTTCACCACCGCCTTGCTAGACCGGAGGATGCGGCGGGTGTTGAAGCGCCTCCAGGCCTCCTGGATAGCCTTGGCTGCCAGCATCTGGGAAACCAGCTTCTGCCGGAGCCGGTAGCCCCTCCAGTTGGCTTGGATGAGGGTGGCCGCACGGGACAGCATCATGTCCATCTCGTCCACCAGGATGTTCTTGAAGGCCTGGCTCTTGACCATGGCCCGGAGGCGCGGGATGAGGTGGGGCGCCGTCTTGTCCTTGGCTGGCTGTTGCAGGAGGGACTCCCTGGACTTGGTGGGTTCATGCTGCAGCTGTGGAGACAGCATCCCCAGCTTGTCTTGGAAACTAGGGATGGGCTGAGGATGGAGGAGGCACTGCCCACTGGATGACGAGTGGCTTGGGAACAGTATCTGTGTTGTTTGCTGCATTGTCTTGGTTCCTGAGCGGGTTAGCTCTGCCTGTTAAGGGCGGCAGAGGGTGGTCAAAGGGTGGGGGTCACAAAGACAAGAGGTCTCGTGGCTGTGGTGGCACTTGCCCCAAGACCCAGGTCTTCTTTTTTTTTAATTAGCATATTCATTGTTACAAATCATACTTGTTCTTTATGCCCCTTATCCAATCTCTCCCCTCCCCCTTCCCCTCCCCCAAGACCAAGGTCTTCTTGTTCCTGGCACCTTGCAATCTTCCTCCTCCTTTTTTCTGTCCCTCGTTCTCCCGGCCACCTGCTCAGGTAGCCTTTGGTGCTCATGTATGCATCCCTCATCCTGCAGTCACATTGATGGTGGCACACGGTGCATGTCCTCATCTGAATGCCCAACCACCCACCTGCTTTCCAAACTTTCTCTGTGTCTTTCTCTGAACATATCCCAAGGCACTCATCACGCTGTTTTGGAAATTTCCTGTTTGCCTGTGTGTGTGTGTAAGACAGTTATCTGCCTCTCCCCAGTGACTGTGAATTCCGAGAGCTCAGGAACCAGGTCAGAGTCATTTCTGTGTCCTCATCTTAGTCACTGGGCCTGACTCCAGGCTGTGAAGGAGGGGGTACTGGGTGTGTGGGTGTCTTGACTTATAAATAAGGGTGTGCTCTAGAAGATGGATGGACAGATGGACACAGAACTAGATACGGAATGGATAATCAATGGATGAATGAATGGTGGATGGGTTGGAGGGATGGACAAAAGGTCGGGTGGAAGAATAGATGGGCAAATGAAGTTAATGAATGAACTGATGAACAGGTAAATGTATAGAGAAATGGGAAGGCGGGTTAGCTCTGTTGGTTAGAGTTTGGTGCTGATAATACCAAGGTCCAAGGTTCCATCCCTGTTCCAGCCATCCACCAAAACAAACAAAAATTAATAGAGAAAAGGACACACGGATGAATGGATGGAAGGATGAATGGATGGATAGAAGGATGGAAGGAAGGAAGGAAGGAAGGAAGGAAGGAAGGAAGGAAGGAAGGAAGGAAGGAAGGAAGGATGGATGGAAGGATGGATGGATGGGTGTATGGATGGAAGGATAGATGGATGGATGGATGGATGGATGGATGGATGGATGGATGGATGGACGGATGGATGGAAGGATGGACGGATGGATGAGTGGGTGGGTGGATGGGTAGATGGAAGCTGAGAAATGGATGTGTAGATGAAGAGGGCTGATGGAGTCGAAGAGACAAACAAATAGGAAGTGGACTGATGCATGGAAAGATGGATGGATAGATGGGTGAATGGATGGTGGAGGGCTGGTAGATAATGGATAGACCAATGGCACATAGAAGGATGGGTAGAAGGAAGAACGAGAGGATGACTGTGGCTTTCAGAAGTAACTTGGGTGCAGAGAGGGTTAGGACACTGTCAAGCCACACTGAGGCATAACCTGGAGCATAACACACTTGTTTGGCAGAAGCCCCCCTCTTTGGGCTGAACAAGTCAGACTCCTTGCTCAGCCATCTTCTTACCTTGTAGAGTCATAGAGTTAGAGGAGGAGCAGGAGAGGAAGGTGCAATCTCAGAAGCCAGCCTGCAAGAGGAGGCAGCCTTCAGCCCTTCATCCCACGCAATGTGCAGCAACAGTGCCCTGGGCTGGATCTATCCCCAAGACCAAAATGAGAAGAAATGTTAAAAGCAAAAAAGCTAAATTCTCAAAAACAAAATTTAAGTCTGCAAAGGTGAATGTACAAGGAAGTTTATTCCAGTGTTTTTTTGTCATTAAAAATAAACTAACAAACAAAAACTGGAAACAACCAAAAGGTGATTAGTTGGGATTCAGCTAAAAATGTATCAAGTGTACTCAAGGATATTCATTACTGTACTGTTCTAAAGAACAGTAAAAACTGAAAACAACCCAAATGCTTATTAACAGAGGAGTGGCTGAAATTGATCGATAGAACATTCACGCAATGGCAAGATTTCTAGTCATTAGAAGTGGTGTCCAGACACACGAGAATGGCTAAAGTTAAGAAGACAGACAACACTAAGTGTTGACAAGACTGGAGAGTACCTGGAACTCTTTTTTTTTTTTTAAGCACCTGAAACTCTTGATGGCAATATAAAATGACACAACCACTTTGTAAAACTGGCAATATCTTGAAAGTAACCCCGGCAATACCACTCTGACAAATATCCTCAAGAATTCCAAATGTTTGGGCCGAACCCATGGCTCACTCGGGAGGGTGCGGCGCTGGGAGCACCAAGGCCTCAGGTTTGGATCCTATATAGGGGTGGCCGGTGCACTCACTGGCTGAGCATGGTGTGGGTGACACCAAGCCAAGGGTTGCGATTCCCTTACCAGTTACCAAAAAAAAAAATTGTGGAGTTTAGCCTTCTTGTCAAGGTGGCAGGATGACAGATGAAAGAACCTGACCCCCTGTGTTCCAAACACAAGTGACAGATAAGATATTTTAAAACAATGTTACCACGATCTAATCCTTGCTCACGAATAAGATGCAAATATTCTAAATAAAATATGACCAGTTATCAAAAGAATAATACCATGGTCAGTAGGATTTATTCCAGGGATGTAAGAATGGTTCAATATCTATAAATCCCCAAGGTCATTCATTACACCTAGAAATTAAAAGAGAGCTGTAAGATTTTTTCAAACAGTGCCCAAAAAGCATGTTATCAAATCCAATAGCTATTTCTAATAAAAAACTTATAAACATAGATAGGATAGTACTTAAATAAGCAAGGCTGACCACACAATCACAGCACATGTTATTTTAAATGGTAAAATCCTAAATCCATTTCCATTAAAAGAAGTAGCAAAGTCCTGCAGGCGGTCTCCCCCATGCAGGTAACATCATTTTTGATGTTACAGCTACATGACAAAGCTAGATGACAAGGACTGGAATAATTAATGAAAATATTCCAAAAGAAGAGTTTAGCTAATGCTGAGATTGTCTACCTAAAAGACCCAAGAGATTCTAATTTTAAAACCAAAAAATGACAAGAAGAAAAAACCTCCATCTTTCCTAAGTCACTTGGGTAAATTGCCTACATAGGAAAACCAACAGCTTTTCTGTATTCAAAGAAACATCAGCTGGAAATGGAAACTAGAAGAAAAATACCATGTACAGTAATATCGAAAGCTATATAAGGCATAGGAACCAAGTTTACACACAAGCTAAAGGAGCTACTTGGCTTTTTGTTTCTGGCATCTGGCCAGTGCA